GTAGCTGGGACTACAGGCATAAGCCATGCTCCACTAATTTTTTGTATTTTTAGTAAAGACAGGGTATCACCGTGTTAGCCAGGATGGTCTTGATCTCCTGACCTCGTGATCCGCCGGCCTCAGCCTCCCAAAGTGCTGATACAACAGGCGTGAGCCACTGCACCGAGCCTACCATATATCTTTTTTTTAAATGTGATTTTTTTTTAATTAGTAAAAAGAGCATTGGCCTAAAAGTCATTGGACCTGAAATCCAAGATCCTCCCCCATAATGATTATGTGAAAGGAATCCAATTTGCTACGTTTCACTGTCAAACTTGAGAAATAAAAGCTGAGAGGCTGTAGGTTGGGTGCAGTGGCTCACATCGGTAATCCCAGCACACTCTGAGGCCAAGGAGGGAGGATTGCCTGAGTCCAGGAGTTGGAGAGCAGCTTGGACAACATGGCAAGACTCTGTCTCTACAAACGAACAAACAGTGACAAGAAAAAGAAAATGTAGAGAGGAGAGATGATTTCAAAGTTTTCTTTCAGTCCCAGCCTCCTAGGAGTCTAGCCTTCTCTCAACATTTTAGGAAGTTACCTTGATAGGATTTTAATATCTGAGTAGACAAGGCCATAAAAAGGGGAATAGGAATCATTTCTTCTTTTTTATTTTGTTGACTTGTTATTTAACTTCTGCTAATAAGGCCCTATGACAATATTTGGTTGACTCATCAGAACTACTTTCAAGTCACAAAAAAATATTTTGAGCCTCTGTAAAAATAAATGTAAAGTGTTATTATATCCAGTAAAAATTAGGAATTTAACAAAAAGAAAGTAAAAAGGGACAGCATGGGAATTACGGAAGAGGCCCAAGTAAGGATTAAATGCATATAAATTAGAATTTTAGATTTAATTGCAAAACAAAAAAAGTCAACCCCTAAAATGGGCATCTATCTATTCAAGTAATTTTTTTTTTTTTTGAGATAGAGTCTCACTCTGTCATGCAGGCTGGAGTGCAATGGTGCAATCTCAGCTCACTGCAAATTCTGCCTCTCCAGTTCAAGCATTCTTGTGCCTCAGTCTCCCAAGTAGCTGGGATTACAAGTATGTGCCACCACACCCAGCTAATTTTTGTATTTTTGGTAGAGACAGAATTTTGCCATGTTGACTAGGCTGGTCTCAAACTCCTGGCCCCAAGCAATCTGCTCCTCTTGGCCCCCCAGAGTGGGGATTACAGGCATGAGCCACTGCGCCCCGCCTGTCCACGTCATCTTTAACCTCGATGTCTCATAAGGCATTGTGTCAAACTATGTGAAACAATCACTTATAAATAAGACTCTTTTTTACCATCATGAAGTTTAAATCTAGCATAATAGATTAGACAGTCATTATAAGTATTATATAAGATAAAATGCATCATTGCATGCAGAATATGAAAAAAGGTTGAAACACACGAATGCACACACAAGTTAAGAAGCCGAAGACTTTGTGAAGGGCATAATTCTAGATGGAAGTAAACAGCATTAGCCATGGCATAGAAGATGGCATTACGTTGGAATGGTGAATTGTTCAGGAAAGTTATCGAGTAGGGTGCATTTACGAGCATGTTCCGAATTAGGTGAAGGTAATGTCACAGAGGCCAAGAGAAGAAAGTGTTAAGAAGTCAGTGTATCTAATGACACATTATATTATGGAAGGTGGCAGAGAAACAAATGTTTGGATTTGGTTTTTAGAAGTAATTTTAGCAGAATAATGGGGGCAGAATATACATTAAAAGGGTTAAGAAGTTAGTGGTCAGAACAGTAAGCCCCAAAACAAACCAGCACCCTTGAAAAAGAGAAGCTCTGCTAAATTAAGAGACTAAAGAAGAAAGTGCCATCTGAAATGGATGTTGTTGTGGACAAGCCAGCTCTAGCTTTATTTTTTTTTTTGAGATGGAGTCTCCCTCTGTCACCCAGGCTGGAGTACAGTGGCACAATCTCAGCTCACCGCAACCTCCACCTCCCTGGCTCAAGCAATTCTCCTGCCTCAACCTCCCAAGTAGCTGGGATTACAGGTGTGTGCCACCATGCCCAGCCAATTTTTTTGTATTTTTAGTAGAGATGGGGTTTCATCATGTTGGTCAGGCTGGTCTCCAACTTCTGGCCTCATGTGATCTGCCTCCCTTGGCCCCTCAAAGTGCTGGGATTACAGGCGTGAGCCACCACGCCCAGCTGATGAGCCAACTACAAAAGATGTCTTAGGGACAGTTGAACAATAATCAGATAAAAGGCGTGGCATGGTGGTTCATGCCTATAATCTCAGCACTTCAGGAGGCCAAGGAGGAAGAATCACTGGATCCCAGGAGTTGGAGACCAGCCTGAGCAACACAGCAAGACCACATCTCTACAAACAAAAGCAAAACAGATAAAGGCTAGATATTCCTTAAGGTACATATTGTGTAATGCGGAGACTGCTAATTGAAAAAACAAAAAATGTTATGTTTTATAAAAAATATGCATTTATACCCATGTTCATAGCTGTATAATTCACAATAGCCAAAAGGTGAAAGCAATCCAAATGTCCTCCGTCAAATGACTGGATAAACAAAATGAGGTATATACATACAATGGAATATTACTCAGCCTTAAAAAGGAAGAAAATTCTGACCCATGCCACAACATGGAGGAAGCTTGAAGACATTTTGCTAAGTGAAATATACTCCAGGCTTGAAAAGACAAATACTGGATGATTCCACTTAGATCAGATATCTAAAGCTGTCAGATTCTTAGAAACTGAAAGTAGATTGGTGGTTGCCAGGGGCTGAGAAAAGGAGAAAACGGGGAATTCTTTCATGAGTACAGTTTCAGTTTTGTAAGATGAAAAAGTTCTGAAAATTGGTTGTACAACAATGGGAATATGATAAACACTACTGAACTGTGTACTTAAAAATAGTTAAGATGGTAAATATTATGATACGTGTATTTGCCAATTAAAAGTTTTTTGTTAGGGTCAGGCACAGTGGTTTGTACCTATTATCCTAGCACTTTGGGAGGCAGAGGTGGGAGGATCGCTTGAACCTAGCAGTTTGAGACCAGCCTGGCCAACACGGCGAAACTCCGTCTCTACTAAATATACAAAAATTAGCTGGTGTGTCGCCCTGTGCCTGCAGTGCCAGCTACTCAGGAGGCTGAGGCACAGTCATTGCTTGAACCTGGGAGGCAGAGGCTACAGTGAGCCGAGATTGTACCACTGCACTTCAGCCTAAACGACAGAGAGAGTCTGCCTCAAAAATAATAATCATAGGCTGGGGGCAGTGGCTTATTCCTGTAATCCCAGCACTTTGGGAAGCCAAGGCGGATGGATTACCTGAAGTCAGGAGTTCGAGACCAGCCTGGCCAACTTGGTGAAACCCCGTCTTTACTGAAAATACAAAAATTAGCTGGGCATGGTGGCAGGTGCCTTTAATCCCAGCTACTGGGAGGCTTGAACCCAGGAGGCGGAGGTTGCAGTGAGCCGAGATGGCGCCATTGCACTCCAGCCTTGTCAACAAGAGCGAAACTCCATCTCAAAAATTATAATAAATAAATAAAGCACTGTGTCACATATTACAAGGCTTCTAGCCATCATAGTCCCCTCTGACTAAAGATACATGTACATAAATACACACACACACACACACACACACACACACAAACGTAAAGAAAAGGTCCTCATAATACAAATTGAGGTGCTAAAATAATAATCACTGACTAGTGAGTATATTTTTATTTTCCTTTTTGTTTGTATATATTTTCCAATTTTCTATGCATATTTTCTGCTTTTGTAATAATAAAACTCTTTTTCCCAAGTTACAAAACACAAATAAATAAGAAAGAAATGATGGGTGCTGTGGAAGTCAATGCAGAGGGCCAACAATTCTTGGAAAATTTGATAACAAAATGAGATGGAGTTGTATCTAAAAGACATCACTGAGTCTAGAGTACCTCTTTCTGTGGCAGTGAGTCCTCTGAAAATCTGGTGGGGGGAGTGGATGAAGCTACTGGCCTCAGAATGAGAATATGTAAAGTTAAAGTTTTGCATATCATTTTAGGTGGTGATGGAGCTTCCTAAAACCTCAGGTTAGATACTTCCAATCTAGAAGTTTTTGTTTACTTATTTAGCTTATTTGTTTATTTTCAAACACACTAAGTAAGGAAAGGAGCCAGTGGAAAAACCAAGATTGAAAGTTCAAGAACGTGGAGAAATTTTTACACTGATACAGACTTCCAGTTGAGACTGTGATTTTGATACACACATAAATCAATACGGTAGATTTAAAATTGTCTATCATAGGACTGGTGTGGTGGCTCATACCTATAATCCCAGCACTTTGGGAGGCAGAGGCGGGCAGATCACTCGAGGGCAAGAGTTCAAGACCAGCCTGGCCAACATGGCAAAACTCCATCTCTATCTGAAAAATAATAAATAATAAATAAATAATAAATAAAATTGTCTATCAGGGGATGCTTTTCTGTGGTCCAGTGTGAGGTAAAGGAAGGCAAACAAAAAAAGCGTGAGGGCCTTCATGGTTTTTCACGGTTCCACATCTTTATGTGGGAAGGTTAGAATCCTAAGAATATGTATAGATTTTCAAAAAGATACCATTCATATTAACATTTTTTTTTCATCCGTTTGCAGAAGTTTACCAATGGAGTCTTTCTCTGCTGAGATCAATTCAACTGACCTACTCTTACAGCCATGGAGTAAGCCCCCAGAAATTCTCTCCATGGTCATTCTCGGCCTCACTTTTTTATTGGGATTGCCAGGCAATGGGCTGGTGCTGTGGGTGGCTGGCCTGAAGATGAAACGGACAGTGAACACAGTTTGGTTCCTCCACCTCACCCTGGCGGACCTTCTCTGCTGCCTCTCCTTGCCCTTCTCACTGGCTCACTTGGCTCTCCAGGGAAAGTGGCCATACGGCAGCTTCCTATGCAAGCTCATCCCCTCCATCATTGTCCTCAACATGTTTGCCAGTGTCTTCCTGCTTACTGCCATTAGCCTGGACCGCTGTCTTGTAGTACTCAAGCCAATCTGGTGTCAGAATCATCGCAGTGTAGGGACAGCCTTCACTATCTGTGGATGTATCTGGATGGTGGCTTTTGTGATGTGCATACCCATGTTCATGTACCGGGAAATATTCACTATAGACAACCATAATACATGTGGCTACAGATTTGATTCCTTTAACTCATTTGATTATTCAGACTTCTATGGAGATCTACTAAAAAACAGGTCTTCTGAAAACATGGTTCAGCTGCCTGAAGAAATGGATGATAGGTTAGATCCTTCCCCTTTCCAAACAAATGATCATCCTTGGACAGTCACCAGTCTCCTCCAACCTCAAACATTTCAAAGACCTTCTGCAGATTCACTCCCTAGGGATTCTGCTAGATTAACTACTCAAAATCCATATTCTAATGTATTTAAACCTGCTGATGTGGTCTCACCTAAAATCCACAGTGGGTTTCCCATTGAAGATCACAAAACTAGCCCACCAGATAACTCTGATGGTTTTCTCTCTACTCATTTAGAGCTGTTCCCTAGGGCTTCTAGCAATTCCTTATATGAGTCTGAGCTACCACAAGATTTCCAGGATTATTACTATTTAGGCCAATTCACATATGACAATCAAGGGCCAACACCCATGGTGGCAATAGTCATCACCAGGCTAGTGGTGGGTTTCCTGCTGCCTTCTGTTATCATGGTCACCTGTTACAGCTTAATCGTCTTCCGAATGCAAAGGGGCCGCTTCGCCAAGTCTCAGGGCAAAACCTTTCGAGTGGCCGTGGTGGTGGTCACTGTCTTTCTTGTCTGCTGGGCTCCATACCACATTATGGGAGTCCTGTTACTGTTTATTCAACCAGAAACTCCCTTGGGGGGAGCTCTGATGTCTTGGGACCATGTGTCCATTGCTCTAGCATCTGCCAATAGTTGCTTTAATCCCTTCCTTTATGCCCTCCTGGGGAAAGATTTTAGGAAGAAAGCAAGGCAGTCCATTCAGGGCATTCTGGAGGCAGCCTTCAGTGAGGAGCTCACACATTCTACCCACTGTTCCTTAAACAATGTCGTTTCAGAAAGAAATAGTATTAGCACGACCGTGTGAAAATATGGAGCAGCCAGGAAGCAGGGGCTCTTAGGTGTGAATATTTCTAAAAGGATGAAGAGATAGGATGAGCAGGGGACTTCAAAAACTGTCAAAGAATCAATCCAGTGGTTCTTAAAGGGTGGCCACAGACTATTGGCATCGGCATCCCCTAGAAACCTGTTAGTAATGCAAATTCCCAAGCCCCACCCCAGACTTGCTGAATTGGAATCTCTGGGGGTTGGGGCCCAGCAAGTGCATTTAACAAACCCTCTTGTTTCTCATTAATGCTAACTGTAAGAATCATTGTAAAAATGAGTTCTATTTCTATCCCAAACTAAGCTATGTAAAATGAGAGAATTTACTGTTTTTAAATGTTTGATGTTAACTGTTTATTGATGTTTCCATCATTAAATTTTTCCTAAGCATTGTCTAAGTCTTCCAGATTCCATTTAAAACCATTTCTTCTTCTCTTACCTGAGTGAAAGATGATCACTTATTCTACAGCTTTGTTGTCGTGTGGTGTTGATGGTTTTAAATGCAAAGAAGGTGCAAAAAAAAAAAAAAAAAAAAAAAACCTGTGAAGGCAAGAAGCCATGAGTCTGAGTCTGGAGCACAGAATTATACAATGCCTGATGCTTGTCCTGGGAACACCCCTGGGTACAGGACATAGGAATTCTGAGTTTCCAGGCTGGGCGCTGTGGCTCACACTTGCAATCCCAGCACATTAGGAGGCCAAGGTGGGCGATCATGAGGTCAGGAGTTCAAGGACAGCCTGGCCAACATGGTAAAACCCCGTTTCTACTAAAAATACAAAACTAAAAAAAAAAAAAGGAATTCCGAGTTTCCAGTATTACAGCTAAATAACCATCCATTGCATGAAAATGGACTACTAATACATGTAAAAACTGACTCATGAAATGTTGTGAAACCTGTGGTTTGGGGAGTTCTGTTTATTCTATCTGCCTACTGGTCGACCACCTCTCTTCCATTCCTCTTCTTAAGCTACTAAATTTCCTTATTACTCCTCTGCCTGCAAACCTTCCGCATCAGACTTTGTGCCTCGAACAACCTCTAATTTCATTCAGATTCTAGTTACTCCTTTCCTCTTGCTCCATAATACTTTCTAACAAAGTATTATTTCAAGCGGAAGGAGAAAGAGGATGAAGCAGCAATTCTTCTACTCACTGCAACTGAGTACCCTACCAAGCTTGCCGTCACATTTTAAAACATGACTACAGGCAGAGTTCATGCCAAAATTACCAAAAATATCTTCTGGGTTTTTTTAATTAATCTTTGTCTTTGCCAAAGTAATATATGCACACAGTTTTAAAAGAATTTAGTAACGTCGCCGGGCGCGGTGGCTCAAGCCTATAATCCCAGCACTTTGGGAGGCCAAGGCGCGTGGATCACGAGGTCAAGAGATCGAGACCATCCTGGTCAACATGGTGAAACCCTGTCTCTACTAAAAATACAAAACATTAGCTGGGCATGGTGGTGCGTGCCTGTAATCCCAGC